ATACTGCTAATTACAAGGAGCTAAGGAGTCTAGTGTTTGCAGTGATAAGATCTTTAAAGGTTAAAGAAACTGACAGATATTAGTAAAGTTAAATTAAAGGTAGTTATACTTACGGCTCTTAGATAAAATAATTATCAAATCCACCCCATTTTAAAGATGTTTTTGTGGGAGATCAAAGATATTTGCCAAAATCATCGCCACAGGTGTCCAGTGCGCATGTGCAACGAAGAGGATGCAACAGAGGAGATTGATGAACGATAAACATGATACATGCGTACACGTCTAAAAATGGATCACCTTTCCACGCCACGCGCTTGAACCTGAAGCATATCTGTAAGTAATTACTTTGTCTGTTACATACATACCTGAAGATCTACAAACCGCCATGTGTTCGAATTCACTCTCAGGAACAAACAACATCGATGACCACTCTCCGTCAAATTTAATGTTCACGCACATCGACAACCACCATACTGTACCAGCAATAGTGGGATAAGACAACATAAGACATAAACACACCCTGAAAACATGTTTTTTCTCCTTTGTTTATCAATGGTCTTGAATTTATCCGCATTACAAAATATGTTTCAATGTTCATACACCACACTTAATTAGTTAAAATGGCATCTGAATATTGAAGACATCTTAATTTATGAGAAAGGTAGTCTGGTGACTGAGGGGGGGGGGGGGTATTAACAAAACAAGCACAAATGAAATTTTTTTTCCAAAATCTTTTCAATGTATTAATAAACTATTTATGTATGAAAAATAAATTTTTAATATTACACAAGGCTTACGCTTTTTATCATGATTTATTTTATTTTTAATGTATGCTTTCTTACAATACAAATGTATAGAGTAGCTGTCACAGGAAGTCGTCCTGTATCAACTATTTAGATTTAGATCCGCTCCACCACCAGATCTATTTATAGATCTGTAATGTTACTGTAGTGTATGTTGTCCACGGGAAAACAAAAGCTTTAAAATACACAAAAAAATTATCGAATTTAGGGCACTAAGGTGAACCACGATGGAACTTAGTGATGGGGTAAGAGTGAACGTTGCTATGTGATGTCTTGATTTATCCATTTTACTTTAGGTTTGCTTTCACTTTCAGTTATTTCCTATTTGTTATTTTTCTTCATATAAACATTAGAGTTATCTTTCTTTGGTTCCAAGTGAAATGGATGATCCATGGAAAGACCTGACGGATCCAATTTTATTGACACTATTCTCCTACCTGAATGTACAAGAATTAAACAATGCTGCCAGGACTTGCAAGGTAATATCATATTACACTATATGTGCACACCAGACAATTATAATAAATTGCAAATGTACGGATCTCATTATCTAGGCCTAGTTTTAAAGGATATTCTGTATTTTTTTTTTTTACATTCTTATATGTGATGACCGTCAAACTTTTTATATGCCAGGCATTTATTATTTTGACCTACATTCATATAAAAGCAAAAAGTCGTCCCTTTCTAGTAATAACTATGAGTTGAACGATGTAAGGTCATAATATGAAAAACATGTTTGCACTGAAGAATATAGAAGTATGAAAAAAAGGATTGTATCATGGATGCGGTATTTTCCCTTTGAAGTTGCCTAAATGTTAAATCCAGTTAAAATGAAAGGGGGTGGAGCTTAAGTATGCGTTAACTTCCAATGCGATAACTTGTTATTGCACACTTTTAAAATAAAGACAAAGTGCTAAAAAACATTTTAATTTTTTTTTCACAAACCAACAAAAAAAAGGTTGACACATGTACTGTCATGTATGATTTAAACCAAATTTTTAAATTTTTCTGCATTAAGCCATGTCACAAGTGTTTGTCTCAAAAATTGAACGAAATTTTACAGTTTTCAAACTGAAACTTGTTGGTCAAATCCGCCATTGCCCTGTTGTCGATTTGTTTAGACGAATTGCTGCTAGAGGCCATTGACTGCAAACTCTCACAGACTTTTTCCAGCGTATTTTCAGCACACATAGGTTCTTGGTTATCATTTTCGTCATACGGTGTTTCCATTTTCATTGCTTTCGGCGCCGGTGGATCAAGTATTTTACTGACATTCTCTGCTACCTCTGGACATGATCTTTTGTACTTCCGCACTGCTCGCTCCGACCTATGTCCGGTTCGCTCCATGATCGCCTGTTCATCCATTCCAGCGCTGTACAACTGGCTAGCACAGGTGCGCTTTCCACTGTGGTTAGTAAAGTTTCCAACGAGACCCCCCTTTTTGCAGATGATTTTCATGAAGGTTTTAATCTTATTAACACCAACAACTTGTGCACCATATCGAATAGGGTTCCCTGCAAGTGGACGTGTGTAAAACTCTCCCTCGTTTCCAAGTGCATTAAGGTACTGATGAAAATAGTCGGCTACTCATCGATCTCCTTAAAACAAGTAACAAAAATAAATTTATATTCATCAATGTAGGTTGTAGTAATGTAAACAAAATCAATCTAAAGGAAAAATACCGTACCTGGTTGACAATAGTGCCGAATGCCTTTACTTTGCAGAGATAGATGGGCAAGTCCTCCCTTAAAAGTCTTGTTTGAACCGCCGCAAAAGTGGATGTATTTACCTCGCCCATCCTCACCAATCGTGACGTTTGCACATGTCAAGTCTCTATGCTCATCAAATCCCCGCAACCCGAATAATTTACACATGTAGAAAAACACTGTATACTGTAGCGTTTCCGCGGACTTGTTTCCCAGTACTTCTCTTTCCCAAAGCAGTTCTTCGTCTTCTTGAGTTATTGGATCTGCCTGTTTGACTTTAGTTCCCAGTCCTTTAGACAAGAGGGATTTCATTTGAGCATCCAGCGTTTTTCTAAACTCTGCAAATTTCAAGTCTGAAAAGAAATTAATGTCATGTCTCTTGTTGTCTCGTAAATACCTTAACAATCCACAAACTAGATAGTAGACCGACTTAGGTGGGTATTCACTTCCGTCCTTCTTCCGTGCGTCGCATACAAAATGTGTCAATGAATAACTCATAGTAGAAACATCCATGTGTAGAAGTTCCGGTACTGCAAGTTCAAAAGGCAGATTTTTGTTTTTTTCTTGGCGCCACTTTTCGAAAACCCCAAATGCCCAACGAGTATTTCTCTTTGTATTTTGATTTTCTTGACTAGAAATCAGCTTCTCAATTTCGTAATCAGAAATTCCCCCGAAACGCTTGGTCGACTCATCGCTGTTCGTTTCACTGAATCTATCGGTGGCACCTCCGTCCATGCCGTCCAAATTAAAATCCCCAAACAGATCGAGGTCCAGTGCATTCGCGCCTGTCGGGTTAATGTCAAAGTGGTTCATACCATCAATGAGTTCCTCTTCTTTTTCAATGGCATCACATATCTGTGATAGAGTGAAATCATCCTCGGTTATCTTATTGCTAAAAAGTCAATCTCATCAAAATTGATGGTGCCGATTTTGTCGTCCATTTTCTCTCGCTGTTATACTGGAAATGTCGTCTGTACACGAGTTGCGCTATACCACAATGCTTTGCGACGATGGGCGGAGTTTATCAAGAAAATTCTAGACTTTTCTAGATATAAACTTGTTTCCGCTGCACTAACGCTATATAAGGAATGTAGGCGGAGTTATCCATGATACAAGTTATTTATAGAACAGTTACTCGTAATAGCGAGCGCAGCGAGCGTCGCGAAGCGACGCTCGTCACTGCGAGCTCTTAAAGCAACGCCTGTGCGAATAGAAAATTCGGACTACTGCACATTCATTCGATAGAATTTTTTGATGCCGTACTTTCGACCCACAATGCATCACTTGTTTTAGCTACGTTCTCGCGAGAATAACGACAAATGTTCAACAAAAAGTTTACTCGCCTTTATTTAATGTATATATTTAAGATAAATAGAAAACGAAACTTTCTTCATTAACGTTCAGCACTGTTCAGGCTTTTTCTTGGAAAATGCAACTTACATACGACGTCATGTGACGTCAGAGTCTAGACGCACCAAATATCACGTGCGGTTTGACGAACCCGATCTAAATCAAAACAACAGAAGAGTTTGCGCTCGCTCTAACGGTCGCACCGTCAACATATTAACTTAATTTATCGTACATCCACATTGGCCGAGACTCGTTGCTGCGCAACTCGTCCCGCCCTAATGTGGATGTACGATAAATTAAAAAAAAAAATTAAAAGATACAAATAATACAAATCTGTGAACAGGGTCCACGGACCTGAGGAAAATCAAAAACCTTCTTTTGATCTGACACACTCCCTGATCATATTTGTTTGGAAATACATTGGTCAAAATACGACTCAGTGATAGGATACATATTTTTTTCTAGCAAGTTTATTATTATTTATCGATCATTTCGAAATGCTGACTTTAAAATGTTGAAATCCCTGTAACGTCATTATTTGTCAATAGCCTGTCTCGGTAAAATTGATCGCATTCAGAGCATGCTCCTGCTTATTGAATTATTTGGGAGACATAACACCATATGCAGGCAAAGAAGGAAATCTGTTGATGGACAGTCATTTCGTTTCTCTGAAAGTTAATTAGTCCGTCATTGACTTCTTGAGTGAGTAAAATGTCTAAATATGAATAGATATAACAGAATCTGTGTTGTCTTCAACACGCCCATAGCACTGGAGATGTAAAAGTATCCCCAGTAAATTCGAATTTTTGACCGGTTTGTGAATCAGAATTTTACGACATGGTTCGGGTCTAAATTTCAAAGCCTTGGTCTCAATATTCAACAATGAAATTGAACTATTGGGTCAGTTTTCAACTCGGATCAAAATTTTTCGTTAATCTGACTGGCCTTTTTCAGAATTGGTATCGTATTGCTCAAGATGAAAGTTTATGGAGAAATCTGACTTTAAAAAGACTTGGATGTCAATATCTGCGCAAGGAGGATAGTTGGAAATTGGAGCTGAAACGTTTAATTTGTCACGTCCCAGTGCATCTGCACCAAACATGCACAGGTCACGTGGACGAGGTCTACAATGTATGCTTCTCTAACAGTGGAAGTCTTATTGCTACGTGTGGAGCAGACGGCATTGTAAATGTAAGATTTCTTGTTCTTCCTTTAATTGGTCATTTAATCCCAACTCTTTAAATTTTTCTGTTTCATTAATAAAAATAGCGATGACTTGAATGAAATCGTACTTTGTTTTCATTATCTCAGGTTTTTATTCTCGATATTTTGCAGATTTGGAAATATGGGATTAACACAGTGTTGTTAATTTCAAAGAAAGTTACAGACGACCCTGATTATGTGAACTACGTTGAGTTTAACGATGCAGAAACACACCTTCTTGTTCATTCTACAAGCAGAAGTCTCGAATATGACAGTACATTAGCTGTGCTTTCCATCCAAAGAGGTAAAAAGTATGTCAAAAAGCCTCTGGTTTTATCTTTTTATAAAAGTTCTTTTAATAATGAAGAGTCGGGTTCAGCAGTATAACATTGCTCAAAGTATGTTTAGGTTAAATTCACTACTAGAGACCAAGAGTCAGCTCTGAGAGTGTAGTAAAGCATATCTTGAATCTTAATGAATCTTAACTGACGTCTTTCGTGCAAATTGTAGGACATACTAGTAATCTATACACATTTATCTCACGGGAGCTAAAAGCTCATCTGAGTTGTTTTACCGCTGTCCAACGTCCTTAAGTATGCCTATTTATTTGTCTGTCTATCTAACCTTCTGTACACTATGGGATATGACCCATGAACTTCTTGTTTTCCATTTACCAGCTGTGATCATGATATGTCGCCATACGGCGAGTTCGGATTCGGATTGGGGGGGGGGGGGGTTGCTATGAAGGAATTTCATCTTTACAACACTGCATGGTACCTTCAATCCTCCGAAATATCAATAAAGGAATTACACATTTAGAAGTATATTTTCCTCGTCTTTTTAGAGATTATGTATATCGTGGCTGCCAGACACTCCGGCGTACGACATTTCAGAGGAACATGGCTGAACAATGAAACCTTCTTGAATGTAAATAAATCCGATCTTTTCCCTCCTTATGACGTAGTATTAACCGCATGCAGGGTGAGTATGTCTTTTTGGCACATACACTGTAACTGTTTAAATGTATGTGATTCAATTTCGAAAGAGATATTAATGTTCAGGAATTATGGCATTTTTAACCTTGTTAATATGGAATTCTCTTTTAAGTTTCATGAAGACGTCTTTGATGAAGATGACCGTCTTTTATCGGAGCTACGGATCCCGGACTGTTTCTCAAAACAAAATGTAGACACAAAAGATCTTCTAAAAATTGAACAAGTAGGGTTCAATCCTGATTTTGTTAAAGTCATAAACTGGTCAGAGTGGAATTCTTCGTCAAATGAACCAAAGGACAATTCTGCCACAAACGTGAAAGTTATAGCGCTCTACAAACAGAGGCTAAATCGGTCTGGTGAAAACGGAGCAGTGTTTTATAAAGTTAGCTTAGATTCGTTAGAATCCTTGGTGATAGAGCCAATCAAAACTGTTTTAACAAATAGTGCGTGTCTGGGAATTCAGCTTTCCACTAATCACAGGTAACATCCATCTCAGCCAATATGTTTTTATGACCCGCCATGAGTATGGCCAGGACCGCTTGCATTGTTTGTCATCTTTTTGTTCCATCTGTTCTTCTGTCACACTCGTTAAACCCAATTTGAAAGAGATTTTAAGATATTTTTGTCACACCTCATATCCTGATAAAAATTGATGAGAACTATCCAACTGGTTCAATATTTTTTGATCTTGATCTTTCCTACTAACTATGATAAATTCTAAATTGTTAATATTGTAGTTTAGAATGTAATTCAAATCTGAACATTCAAAATTATGTGACATCATCAATGTTAAAAGGTACATGGTATACAACTTGAGGCGACTTTCAACTGAAGGGGTCTACATCATGCACGAGAAGGATGTCGTTACCATGGTGATCAGTCTGGAAAACACTGAAGAACAACCGGAAATATTTTGTGACCCCAAACCTGCAGATGATTCATTAACAATATCTTACTTCTTTCCAAGTGTGTCTGAAGACCTCGTCGCAAAGTATACATTTTACAATTATTATGTAAAGGCTTTTTGCATTTCATCGATAAAATTCATATTGAAATCTTATGTTTATAATTGTATACAAGATTTAGTCTTTTTACATTATTTTTTTTTACTTCTCAGTGAATCTGAACCGGATGTTGTTTTCCTATGGGATCGTCACTCGCATAAAGTCGTTTCCAGGTTACACCATCACACTGGTGTGAGTGCTGTTGCCTTCCACCCACGTGACCAGGAAGTCCTAGCTAGTGTAGCAGACGATAAAAAACTCAGAATATGGACGTCTTTGAATAGAAAAGAGAGCTATATAATTGATTAATCTCTGGAATATAATGTCGCATAGCGCCATCAAATTCATTTTTTGTACATTGGATGTTTATTTCGTGATAGTTGTACCACCTAGAAATCTTTTGTCCATCATTTTTATGAACAAGATTTTGCCGCAAACAAGTCCGTTATGGAAATGCCACATATTTGTTATTTTTGTGAAATACAGGGAGAGGAACGAATCACAAACATCATTGGCTAGCAAAGATGCATGTACACATCAAGCTCTTTTATACAAATGTGTAAAATTCAATTGAGAATACACATGTACTTTCAAATAAACTCTCCGTAAATACAATTAGGATAAATCTGTTTCATGCACCTGATTGAATTCTACGTCTGGAAAATCCAACTTTTAATCTATAGCGCCATGACAAAAGTATTCCCAATTTGTAAAAAAAAAAAAAAAAACGCGCTTCAAATCAAGGAACATAATAATATGTATAATGTGTAATTAGATTTCTCTCTTTGGTGTGCAGTGTAGAGAGGGTTCTTAAAACAACCATTCCTCACGATAAATTTAAATTAGGTTTTTTCATTATAATAGACAGTGTTCAGCTTCTTTAATAAAAATGAAAGTCAGACATTTTCCTTCCTTGCGATTGGTCATCAACAAAATAACTTCGATGTAAATTCCTTCGAGTTGACTCACAAGTACTAGTACTCTGAAGTTGATAATAAAATGTTGTTTGAGTTCCTCATAGACTTTATGTACCAGGTAGTCTTCGAAGAACAGATTTTCCAACATTATTTTGCAATATTCCGATGGGCACTAGTTGTATTATCCGGTCTCTTTGTTTAATCAGATGAAGCAAATTCACACACGAGAAGAAATCCTTGTTTTTTGACCTTCAACTCAACATTTAGATATATCGACGATGCATTATAAGTAGTATAAGGCGTCTAGATGGGTGGGTCAACTGAGTGCACTTTTGGGGCTGTGGGGGATAGGTGGGTCAACTGAGTGCAGCTCCTGGGGGGGATAGGTGGGTCAACTGAGTGCAGCCCCTGGAGGGGATAGGTGGGTCAATAGAGTGCAGCCCCTGGGGGGATAGCCGGGTCAATTCAGTACATATAATCCCCCTAAATACGGGGGTGTGTTTACACTGTGTTTACATTATACACTATACGCTGCTGCTACTACCATTCATAACGCTGCTACTACGATTTTGGCAAATACTCAAGAATTTGATTATGACGTCACTCATTCACAGTGATTTTCCGAAAACTGAAAAAAAAACAATAACACACAATAGAAACAAGAACACAGATTTTATTCAAGTAAAAAAATACAACAATTTACTTTTTCTTCTTCTGGGCCTTATCGGTCATCAGGGATAGTTTCCTCTTGTGAGTAGTGCTGGGTCCTGGATTTTCTCTGTTGTGTTCCTTTTTCTCTTTTTTGTCTCCTTCTTTCACTGGAGGTTTGGTCTGGTGGGTCCCTGAGATCTTGGGTTCCTGAGGCTTTTTCTCCAGTTTTTGTACTTCTTTGACTAATTGTTGATCCTCCTCATCCTCTGTACACTTATTAGCCCAATGGCCAAATTTCCCGCACTTGTAGCACAAATCTTTCTTGGGGCAATCTGGGGCCCAATGCCCTAACTCTTTGCAGATGAAGCATGGATCCGTCTGTCTAGTTTTCTTTTTTTCTCCCGATTCCCCTTGTCCTTCTTTTTTCTGGTAAGTGCTTCCTCCTCCTCTCATTTTGTCTTGCATGTTAGTAACTTTTACTTCTAATTTGGATAATTTGGCACGAATCAAACAAAATTCACTGGCGTTGTAAGTTTTCAGATCAGTCAGCTTGTTTTCATGATCACCCACCTTCTCAGCAATATATTTCAGCGTGTTGTCATGATGTCGCACTTTCTCACCAATATAATTCAGCTTGTTGTTAAGATCACTCACCTTGTTGTTCATATCATTCATCTTGTTGTCAAGAGCGGACAGCATGTTAACAATCCCATCCAGAGTTGTATTTAATAGGCCCATATCTTCTTTATTCGCATATTCTGGAAGATTATACATGCCCAAATCTAATCCCACTGCATCCTGTGACTCTGGCATGGGGGCTCCTACATAACCTTCAGGTGTCACATAGTTGGGGTTGTCTGGAGTATTCATCATTGCTTCTGCCATACTATTTTCACGTCTGTCAAGTTCGAAATGTCAAGCAAGACTGATCCTCAAATCCCAGCTCCGCTTTATATACCTGCTGTGGGGCGTGTGCATCAATACGTTTTACCTACGTTTTTATGCTGACTACACAGGTAATACTTGGCAGCGAGTCAAGTTTGTTTAGGGTCCGTGTGCAAAAAATATGCTGACTACACAGGTAAATACTTGGCAGCGATTCAAGTCAGGGGGACCGTGTGCACCTTTGACCTACCTTTTTATACCTGTTGCATCACCTGTGAGGGGGGCCGTGTGCAAAAAAAAAATATACGATAGACCTACGTTTTATACTGGGGGTATAAATGAGAAGAAAAATCTGGTCCTTTCTTCACAATCGACTATCATGTCAACCCTGATACACACTCACTCTCTGATTTTAGATGGGTATGATTGTTTAGTACGATGGGCACAAAATCACCAAGAAGCTCTACCCCCGGAGGCAGAACAAGTATTTCAGGAAGCCAGCACTATCATGGAAACCCTTCAGGATTTATGGTTACTATGCCTAACCTTATCACATCATTCGACGAGCATGGGGAGACTAGCTACCATACATTTTCTATGTCGACATATGAAAACAATTCTGCCCCAGAAATGGTACGGACTGAACCTGACCCTTTATTTCGGAAAGCCTTACAGTTTCCTGACCCATCCCCAAGCGGGCAAAGTGATTTTATTGTGGCAGGACATAGATGCGATGGAGAAAGTATGTATTCAATACGGAATGAAATACCTGGAAATTTCACACAGGCTAGGAAATCCGTGACTTTTAATACCAGCCTCAATCAAATCTACGAATTACCCCCCGAAGACCGGAGAAGTCCCTGGATGCAATTAGTAGCAGATCGAATACGATTTCGGAGGAGAATTCGACAGTTAGAAGCTTTGTTAGTTTTTAAGAAATAAAAAATCATGTAATACTACATCAGTGTTATGTTATTGTATGACGTCATATATGCACTCGGGTTCGGCGTTTCCCCCTTCAATTTTGCTTTGTCACTGTGATGGGGCGTTTTTTGATCACATGATCAAAAGCCAATCACATTTGATCACATGATTGGATTGTTGATGTTTTGCCGCGATTGCACAATCGTCTGCTATTGTGTATAAATACAGACCCTCCGAGCTCTCGGCTTCATTCTGCTTGTTTGCTGAATTCCAGTACAGAGAAGAAAGAAAAAAGAAGTGTAAGAAGAAGATGGCTGCTCATCGAAGAATATTCCATGAGGAACTTTACTTAATCCCGGGTATAGTAATAGAGTCCTACATCACCGTCCGACGGCTTGATAATGACCGAGAGTTGATGAGGATAAATATGGCTAGAATAGCGGTGGCCAACCAGCGGAGGAGAGCTCGCTCTAACCGAAGACAACCGTCTCAGTCCCCGCCACCACCACCACGACCTGCGCCCCCCCAGACCCAGGCCAGAAACCAGGGGAGAGTTCCCCGCTGGGGATTTTCAGTCCCCACTCAGCGGACCATATGCACGCTTTGTTTGTCAGACAGCGAGGAAAATAATTTCGTATGCGGACGTTGCCTACAGAGGCCCGCTTGTCTTCTTTTATTTTTATGACACATCTTTATACAGTCGGATTCTGACGAGGACATGGGCAACCTGGTGGAGGAGCTATTGAGAAACTAAAGCTACCGGGGAGCCACTAAGGCGGCCGTTTTCACGGCCACCCAATTGTTTCGAAAAGATGCCTACTTAAACAGTCAATAAAAAAAAAAAAAGAAACATTGTGTTTCTCTCAAGTTATAACACCAGGTCACTTTTTTTAAAAAAAAAATTATGTCTCCAAGTACGCCGTAATTTTTTATGTAAATTAGATTTTTTTACCCCAGTGAAAAAGGTTTGTAATCTACCGTGTAGGTCGTTTAAAGTTGTTTCACATTGTTTATAATTGTGATTATGTTATCCCTCACCTATATGTTTAATGTCAGCTATGCTAAATAGCCCATTTCTGTGTAATTTGAGAAAATGTTTTTGTCATGTGCTTAAAGTATGGCCTGCTATTCATGTCATCATTTAAAAAGTCAATCCTAAATAAAATCTGTCTTTAAAAAATACATTTTTTACAAATGACATTTAATATGATTAGAGTATAGGAATCCATATATATAAGAGATATTATTTTTGTATTACATTTATAAGAGACATTGTCTCATGTAATTTAAATCATAATAACAAAAAATGGGTTTTATTTTTCTATACAGTCCTCAAACCTGGAAGATATGTTTTGTTCCTAACCAATCCATTCTCTAAGTGAAGTGAAGCCTGGCTGTTGGTCTTCCTTTGGGAAATATACAGTGAAATAACTAACATAAAAACAAAACTTGAATCTAAAAAAAGTTTCAATATCATTTTAATTTATTTAATTATTATTATTAAGATAATTATTTTAAATGTTTATATTTTTAAAATGGATAAAAAATAAAATCTGATAATGGAAATCAATACTATAAAGATAGCAAGTTTTTTTATCTTTAATTACTGATGAATTTCTGAATTTTCCATTAAAATATTTGACATTATATCACAGGGGAAAAGAAAAAAAGTGGAAAAAAAACTACTTGAGTGTTTCTACTGACCCCCCCTCCAGGGATCTGCTTATGAGTGCATGGGGATTGCGGTGGACCTTCATCTCCTGTTTAAAACAGACATTAGAGTATGACAGATAAAAAGGTACTTTTTTTTTTTTTTTAAAAAGATCTTTATTTTACATCACATGAAAACACACAATTAATGATGAAGAATGTACACATGTTTTTCATAAGTGTGTACAAATTGTTCAATATAATGTCTATAATGAATCCAATTTCCTTGGGCTAGTCCACACCCAATCTTGTAAGGAAAAGCATAAGTCTGGTAAGGTAAACTTTCCCCCATTTCTTGTAAACAGGCTTGAAACCATTGCTCTCTGTTTTGTGGGGTATCCTGATAAGTGGAAATTCTTTTAGGTCGGTGACTTGCTTTTCCATAATCCCATTGAGCTAGTAAACAAATGACCACAGGGGTTTGTGAGGGAAACACCTTAATAGTGCCTGGAATTCCTCTATCTTCTTCTACGGCTAAATTTCTAGTCCCTAGAGGTCTGCGAGTGGCATAGAGATTAGCTTGTGGGAATTTCTCTGCAATACTTTGACTCAATCCATGAGCTTTTACAGTTAAACAATTACATTGATGAACAATAGCTTCTACCTCACAGTTGAGTAAATCACCTTGTATCTCCTGGAGACTCATGATGTAAAATGAATCTATTTTTTAAAACACCCTTGTTTTTATAGAACAACAACAAACAACACAATAAAACAAGTTTTTTTTTTTTTTTATTCAGGTAAATCTACAATCTCTTGGAACTAATTCTTTGTTTCTCACATCAGGTTTTAGAACTCCATATTCTTCATAGTCACCTTGTCTATAAAAAGTTCTTTCCAATTCTGGGGTGCTGTAAGACATCTCAAAACAGGTTAATTTATGAATCTTTCTGTACATGTATCTCCCTTGAACTCTGTTTTTCATTTGAATGAATCCTCTCACATGATGAAGTTTTCCAGTTTCTGGATGCCTTTCTTTTTGTAAGATCAAGTATTGATAATCACTTCCAATGATTTGATCTACATCTTCCTGTCGGCACCCAGTTAAATTAAATATCCAATTATTGGCTATTCTACCTCTGTCTTGTTTTAAGTAAGCAATATATCCATTGCCTGTATTTTCTTTCTGTTTGTTTTGATAATGAGCCTTAATATCCTCCAAGAGTTTGTTGTTTGGTCTTATGTTTTCTTTTTCCTCCTCCTCCTGAGGTTTATATTCTACAGGATGTTCTTCCATCAAGGGAGGTGGTATAAATACTGCAGGATGTTCTACCATCAAGGGAGGTGGTATGATATCTTTTCCTCCCTCCTGTATAAGTAACCATTCAGTTTCCTTTAATCTAGTGTTCTGACTCATTTCTTTACTGGAGGTGTTACCCATAATGAAACCAGTCCACAACTGAGGTGTGTTTTGTACCATGTTTACTATTTATACTTTTTTTTTATTGTATTTATTTTTATCAATCTTTAAAAAACCCTCAACACTTTTTTTTGTTTTGGTGTTTTGAAAAAAATCTATGGTTAAAGGGAGATAACCTTTTTTTCAAAAATGACAAAAAACCCACAATTTTTTTTTCTTTTCTTTTTTTATTGAGATCTAACAATAAATAACAGTTCAATCTTTTTTTTTTTTATTCACATCTTGACCAGCTCACATTCTTTAAGAACTGTTTCTTCCTAGCTTCTCTGGCTGCAATAGCTTCAGGTTTCTTCCAAGCTCCTATCTCCCATTCTATCCAATCTCTGGGCTCCAATTCCTTATTTCTCTCCTCCGGTTTCAGAACCCCATATTCTTCATAGTCACCTCCTTGCTTGTAAAACATACTTTCCAATTCTGGGGTACTGTGAGACATAGCAAAATCAGCAGTGATATGAAGTCTGCACATAGTCAGTCCTCCTTCTGGTTCCTTCATTTGAATGAATCCCCTGATTTGATGCAGTTCTCCTGTCCAGGGATGTCTTTCCTTTTGTATAATCAAATACTGGAAACCGAAGAAGAAATCATCTTGGTTGCTCAGAAACATGTCTATATCTTCTTCTTCTTTAGGCTCTTTAATGGTGAAAGTCCAATTAATGGCTGTCCTGTAAAATCTGTCTGGACATTTAGGATCATTGATAGGCTCATGCAGGGGTATATATTCATTCTTAGGTTCCGGATCCAGGGTTTTCAACTCTATTCTTCTTTTTGTTTGAGGAGCTTCGTGATCCCCCTCCATAGGTTCCGTCATTCTCTTTTCTAATAAGGCAAATTTATCTTTATCCATTTCCATCTCTTTTTCTTCTTCTTCTAATAGTCTTGGAATTCGCTTGCCAAACTGTCGTTTACTCATCCACATGCCCCACCAACTGAGGAGGATCGTCTTTAACACCTTGTTTTTATATGCCCTACACCTTGGCAGATAAGGGCCGTGTGCAAAACATACGTTTTACCTACGTTTTTTTTTATGCTGACTACATAGGTAAATACTTGGCACCGATTCAAGATTATGACGTCACGCTTCACAGTCAAAAGCTCAGTCTAGCCTAACCAGTTCAAACTGGATTTTTTTCTGAAAACACTAACACACAATAATAAGAACACAGATTTTGATTTTTTTTTTCATTCTTTATTTTGTAACAACAAACAACAAACAACAAACAACTCATTTACAATACATTTTGATAAAAACATTGACACTTTTGTCCATGACCCGTAGGTAATTTATGATAAGTGTTTTTAAACCAATTCGCTACGTATCTGTCCCTTTGTAAAGCCGTACTCTGGTCAAAGGGGAATAGCCACTCGTCGGTTTTCTTTCTTTTCTTGTCTCTTTGATGTAAATAATACACGCAATATTGTCCACACACATCGGTATTCCAGTCTTGATAGCGATACGGATTATAAATCCATTGTTGAGCATGACGCTGGATAAAATCTTGAATTTCTTTTTGTAAGGGAGGAAATCCATAAGAATCGAAATATTCCACCACGGGATTGCTCACATATAGACACACCCAATGTTCTCCAGGTCGATCTTGAGGATCCGTATTGACCACGACAGCTTTTTCTCCAGGTCTTAATTGATCCGGTAATAAATCTACAGGATACACGCCTCCAAAAGAACTCTTGAATTCTCTGGATAAGACTTCTCTCAATTGTCCCGTATCCATTTTTTTTTTAGTAATCAATGCTCACTTCTCTCTGTTTGTTAATTTCTAATAAGTTATCGAATTCTGCATACACCACACAATTGATGGTGTTAACCGTATTGTTGGTAAACTGCACTTCTACTCTCAGATTTCCTGTTTCTATGATGTGGAATTTATCCGATTGCGCTTCTTGATCTTTAGTGAAATCCCAGCCCCATAGAGTGTAGCCGCTTTTATACTCTTCTAGGGTGATGTCCGGAGCCCAATCTTCTCCTAATTTCCCCAGAGCTTGATACAGACTGAGATATGATCTCAGATATAAATCGTCGTTGAAATTAGGCTCAAAACAACGAGTACTCATGGTCTCTCCGTTGATACTGACATCTAATTTCTTGATCCCAAAGTTTTGGAAATGAAAGGGATTTTTAGTTTTATCTCCGTTAAAGGCCGCATTCTCCACAAAGCCTAAAATGAGACGTTTAGGCATCTGACCTTGAAACAGATGATCCGTAATCTTAGACTGGGTCCCTATGGGGAATGGTAAAGGTTTTCACTTCCACTCTTCTCAAGGGATATTTGGCTCTGTGGGTATTCAAACTCTGATTAATGGTATTCATCATGACTGCTGTGGGTTTGACTTTTCTCACCCACAAGATCATACTCAATATTTTCACTTTTCCTGTACTTCCTCCTTTGATCAGCATGTAAAAGAGGGTCTAGCTCGATTAAATCGCAAACGGACGTCCACTCCATTAGGTAGAAATCGATCTTGTTGAAACAAATCCAAATGTAAAGTATCCAGCAAACTGATTTTCTTACTGTCAGCAATAGCTTGGTGTCTTTTTCGGAATCCTTCGTTTTTAGAATTGGCCGGTAACGCTGTGAGGATGGGTTGGTTAATGGTCACCGTGTCGGCACCACCATCTTGACCCTGAGTTACATCAAAGGTTTTATTTTGAGCTACACCAAGAGCCTCTAACCCCACTTCGTCCATGTGTCCTGCCGTATCTTTTTCCCACAGACTACAGGCCCTCGTCTGTGTCTTTAAAGTTCTGGGTCGGTAAGACAATAATTTCTCCAGATAAGCTTTGTAAGGATAGGTATCCGTCCCTGGAGTCACTATTTTTCCATTCAGACTGACATCGATTTCCGTAAACATGGAATGTAAGATATTATTCACGGGACTGGAAGTGCTGTTCGCCCCAGTCAGATTACTTCCATCGTCTTTGGTAAATTTACATACCATTTGAACATAAGTTTGAGATAAATCCAGATAGTGATCTCCTTGTCCTTTGATTTCAAATTCGATGGGAGCGGTGTCGGAATCTAAAGTACTGGAAATGGGGTAATATTCTTCCCATTTCGAGTCTTCTAAAGCAATATTAGTCGGAGGGACTTGAAACAATTGTAAATTGTTCATCCCACACGCACAGGAATCGGGCTGTAACATGATGTGTCTACTAGGATTCAGTTTTCACAAATGAACCTTCTGTTCCCTGGACTGTCCTATTTATACTCTCTCTCTCTCTCTCTCTCTCTCTCTCTCTCTCAGTCAAACACATCTAAATGACGTTTTCTTTTAGGAATTCCTCCTTGTTTTTTCCTTTTTCTCTTAGGACCCCCTCGGGCTAACAGGATTCTTCCTCTCCCTGTCTGCTTTCTTCTTTTTCTTCTTCTTCTTCCTTGACCTGTTTGTCCTTTTTTCTTCTTTTTCTTTCTAAAGGGTAAAGAGACTCCTCGATTGAAAGCAAATAGACCTGTATTTTTGGCCGCATTGAGTCCGTGGGTTAAAAGAGCATTTCTGATGTTTTTTCTTTTTCCCACCACATCCCTGCCTATCTTCACTCCGGCCATGATGGCTTGTTGTTTCCCATGTTTGAGTAAATCTTTGACAAATCCTCGACCTTTTTGTGGCCCCATGGCTAACTTGGTCGCTTCTTTGAGAGTCAAACCTGAGCCTATGCCCGGTAGGGGTATGTTAGGGACTGCTGCCGAGAGGAAGTTTAAAAAATTTCCTCCTTTTTGAGGTTTCATGTGAGTTAAAAGCCTACCCAATTTGAGTAATCCTGTAAGAGGAGTTCCCGATAGATTATCCAAGGGAAGGGCTCCCACCAATCCAGAGATGATAGAACCTACTGCTCCGCCTTTTTGACGTAATAAACCTTTATGATAAGTCCAACTGTGTCCTCTTTGTCTCAGTAATCCGGGATGATTCTGCATGGTTCATGTCGCTTGTTCAACTGACCTTTATATCCTCGGGGGACTTCCTTTTATACCCTTTACGGCTGAATACAATACAGACAGCAGACCAGACAAGCCACCACACCCAATAAGATGGAACACAATAACGGTACATTCATCTCAGTAGACTTTTCTGAAATGAAGTTTCACCACTGATTTACCACTTACAAAGGGCATGGGAGTCCCTAAAGGAGTCATGATGTGAATCTCAATGGTATCGAAATGTTTTTTACTTAGTTTCAAATATTCCGCTCGAATGGGTTCCCATTTGGCTTGTTTTGAATCCTCCAAATGAAATGTACAAGGCACCACTCTTAAGAGTTTCAAGGCATTGGAGCCTACCGTCTGGGGTTGAATCAAGTCACAATAGACATACATGGATTTCAGATTTTCATATAAATCCACAGTACTGTTTCCCAAGTAACTAATGTTGATCCATTTGGTCATGTTTTCTGTATCGTTCTGAAGAATGACTTTCTGACCGTCCATGCCTAGCTTATAAGCTAGGGATGTGGGGAAACGAATGCATAAGGGAGTAAGCATTTTTTCATTGATTTCATACATCACTCGATCATAGGTCTCGTAATATACTAATTTCATAGATTTTTCTTCATTTCCATCACCAAGGGTTTTCCATATTTTTTTCAATGATCTCTCTAGTCCTAGACTTATTTCCTCTGTTAAGGCCTTGGGGTGAGTGTAAGGCCCGGGTCTGAAGTGAATTCGTCTAATTTCCATCTTGCTATCTAGTTCAACGAGTGCAGGCCGTTTAGTATGGGCCCAATCGAGCAGTACAGGACATTGACGTAATGGCATTGGGTCTAAGGTTTTCATTTTAAATCTGCCATAAACATTGGGGTTTTTGATATGGCGAGCATAAGACTGAGGAACCAGGATGTCAAAATAAGCCTCCTTTTCTGTAATGTTTTTCAATGAATTGGGATACATCATTTCTGTTAAAGCCACTTCCCATTCTCCGTCGGTTAAATCTAGGGATTGTGGTAATAAGGTTTTAAATTGAGCGGTCGTATTGCTAGAAAAAGAGGCCATAGACCCATCACTGGGTAAAGTCATGTAAAACCCACTGCTCTCGGCCATGTTCAATCTAAGACTGAGACTCTAGACCTTAAGACCTTTGTATTTATAACAACACTTTTTTAAAATTCAAAACATTTATTCAAAAAATTTACACATCTATTTCTTCTTCTTCTTCTTCTGATGATCGGTCCTCAATCACTCGAGTCAACAAATGTCCTTTCTTTTCCACCGAGTCTTTAATCTGGGAAAAGGGGATGCGACAATACAAGTACTCTGTAGGACAATAATGAGGTGGAAACATCAGTCCTTTTTTCTCCATCTTGAAATAATATTTCAGACAATCTCCAATGTCCGAGTACCATGAACTTTCATTCTGAATGGTGTTGATGGGTGTCAGTCGATTCCTTTGAGTACAAGTAACCCATTTGAATTGCTGATAATGTTGGTTGATTTTCACCCTCACTCTAGATCCTGTTAGAGGATAGGGAATTTTCATTCTTTTTTCCAACCACACATTCTCCAGGTAATAGCCTGGATGATTTTCAAAGAAATCCATGATGGCTCCTATTTTAGTTTTCATCCACCCTCCTTGCATGTACATACACTGACTAATGGGACTCTCACAATACCAACGATACTGCATCTTTGAAACAAAAAACACGTCTGACTTGTTCAGTGTCCTTTTTCAGAATGAGAGAGGGTTTGTTATATACCTCTTGATAAAACCTTTCATCTATTTTTATTTTATTTTTTAAATTTTTATTTTTTAAATTATATTTTATTTTTAAAACAAACAACAAAACAACAAAGAATTTTTAAACACAAATTTTTATTCAAGTCAAAAAATACAAAAAAAAAAATGATTTTATTGTCCTTCATATCGGCATAAGGGGCATTTCTTGTAGGAAGTCTCAAAGAGTTTCTTCACACACTTTTCACAACACGGATATTGCCGGCATTGTCCGCATTTCCATTTTCCTCGAGTCTTTTCCTGGTAGCACATCATACATTCTTTCAAAGGTCTGTTCCTGGTCATTTTCACCCATCGGGGAGGCGGTATGTTCTCAATTCCTTTCTTCCAGATGAAATATTTCAGGCACCAGCTACAACCACAAGTCTCCATGGAAGGGGGGTCATCTACCATCCAGTGTGGCATAGGTTCTCTACATTTACTACATCCCCAGTACCAATCAACAACTTCTCCCGCATCGTTATAGCCGACGTATTTATGTATCTCTTTCGTCTTCTCATTGCAGTGATAACATATTGTTTTTTCTACATCAATCCAATAGATAATTCTCCACACAAAAGACATGATGGCTAAATAATGAGTGCAGGGTACTCCCAGCTCCGCTTTATATACCTGCTGTGAGCCGTGTGCACCTTTGTCCTACCTTTTTATACCTGTAAGGACCGTGTGCAAAAAATTAGGGGGCGTGTGCATCAATACGATAGACCTACGTTTTTTATGCTGACTACACAGGTAAATACTTGGCAGCGATTCAAATCCGTGATTGTGACGTCATCATGACAAAGCTAGTGTATATAGAGCGCTCTGTTGTGTGTATATAGAGCGTTTAGTTGTATGTGTGTATATAGGGAAAAAAATAACTAACAACACTAGAATTTTTTTGGTTTTTTCTTTTTATTTTTTTATTCATAACAACAACAACAAGAACAAGAACATCATAATAACAAACATTCAAAACTTCTGTTCAGTTCTTTTTGTATGGGAAAAGGTCTCCTCATGTACAAATAGTCTGTTTCACAAGCACAGTCCATGATATCGTATCCTTTTACGACCACTTCTTCCAAATAGTCTTTTATACAATCTCCAGCTTTTTTCATCCATTTTCCTTGAATCCAAGTCTTCTCGGGTCCCTGTCTTCGGTGAGCCAAGACGTAATTGACTTTCCATTTAAATTCTCCATATTTAGGTGATCTGGGTCCTAATAAGACCATGTGTTTGCTTCTTTTGCGGTGCGGTAACTTGAATCTCTTATACAGGTAGATTTCATTGAGACCTGTTTGTCCTGGATTCTTATCAAAGAAATCTTGAATACATGTCTCTTTGTTTTTCATCCATTCTCCTTTGTGACTAGTCCCTTCAGGTTCTACTATTTTCCAACGATACTCTGAGCTTAAAAAATCCATGATGTGTGCTCTGTCCCTCACTCAGATCAGAAATGATCCTCTTAGGGTTATGGTGTCTCCTTTTTATATAGAGGGGTGTATCTATTTTTAGATTCCGGGATTAACTGGGTGAATTGGTCTTCTTGACCCTAGGGGTATGATGTATCATGGTAGGACTAGGCATGATGTAACCGACCGAAGAACTCACACAGACCATCCAATATTCTCGATTAGAATCGTGTAAAGCTAACATGACCACACTGGTGATGATGAGGGAAATACAAATGAATAATTGTGCAAAATACACAATTTCTTCTCGAGGAATATTCTCTCCACAACATTTCCAATGAGGTGTTATTTGATGAGATCCGTTTGGGGAATCCATGAATCGAAACTAGGGGGATATCCTTTCCACCGGACTTTGACTTCTTGAATGATTTTCTTCCCGACTCGTCGCTTTTTATACCCCAAGATTTCCTCCACTTCGTACACGTCGTCTTTTTTAATGATCTGTTGTAATTCTTTCTCGTAAAAAGTCCCTTCTAATTCCTCCTGGTTATAATCTTGTACTCGATACACGTAAGGATACCGACCGGGGACTCGTTGAGCAATGGTAAATATTTCCGTGGTCCAGTTCGGTAAATATCCTTTTTCAAAAGTGCGTTTAGCTTTACTGATGCGCACTTTATCTCCTGTTTTAAACTTGGGGGGTTTTGGTTTAGGTGATGATTCCCCATATAAAGTTTTCCAGACTTTTAACACATTCGAGGGCTTCACTTGAGCTGGGGTTCTTTGGATACTGCGATGATAGGTATGATTGTAAGCATACACTAAATCCGGTAAGATCTCTAAATACCGTCTGGTTTTATTCCGAGTGAAATATCGCCACATGCGTGCTTTGAGGGTTCTCTGAAATCGTTCCACGATACTGGCTTTGGTGTCCGTATTGCGAGTGGTAAAGAAATGAATGGATTTAAACGCCTGTAAGAATTCTCGATTGGTAAATTCTTTGCCTTGATCCGATTGAATGCGGACGGGACGTCGACCGTCTTGTCGGAAAATCTCTTGTAATCCTCGAATCATTTCTTTCCCCGTTTTCTGTTTTAAAGGCACCACCCATGCATATTTAGATAAGACGTCAATGGCACACAATAAAAAGGTATAACCGTCATTATGTTTCTTTAAACTGGACACATCCGCTAAATCTAATTGCCATTGTTCGTCTATATCCGTCACTCTGGTCTGTTGTCTCCGGAATTTTCGGTGAATGGGTTTATGTAAGGTATAGGTATCTTGCTCTTTTAACCATTCTCGTATGGTGTTCAAAGAAATCTTATGTCCCAGACTTTTGACCTGACGATACAAAGTCTGTATGCCTCCATACCCTCTCTTAGGATCGTAATAAATCTCTGTTAAAATGTCTTCTACTCCCTTCTTCTTTTTCTTCTTCTTCATGTCTTAGGCAAAGGAAGCCAATTTTCCTCGATTTGTTCTAATTTCTTCTTGGCTTCTTCTTCTTGGGCTTTTAATTGCTTTTGGGCTCGATAGGGACTATATTTAGGTGTGAATTTTTTTAACACCCTTGATCTTGCCTCTACAGGTCGACTAATAGGGGTCAAAAAAGAAGAGGAAGCATCCTGAAATCCGCTCTCTTCCTCTTCGTCGTCGTCACTCAAAGCCCCTTTAGGAGTACTGATTTTTCCTGGTTTCTGCATGGCTTTTATAAGGTCTCGATTTTGCAAGTAAACCATGGGAGTACGGGTCTCTTTTAAAGCTTGAGCAAATTCATCTAATCCTTTAGGCACCGG